ATAATCTCGAAGATGTTTCCATAATGTTATCCTGTCCACACTGTCAATCACCTTCTCATAGTCAATGAATTTGATGTATATTGACGAGTTTCATTCATTCAACCTTTTACATATCAGTGGTTGTTGTTATTTGAAGACGACATGTTGTATTTGACATATTCCAAAAATTTTATTGTCTAATTTCATTTGATTGTTACAGTTAGAGTTTCGAGGAAAAGCACCACATAAATTTCTTAAAATTTTTTGCGACATTATTTTTATGTGATCTATTGATTCTTAAAATATTTCTTTTTCCTTTTTGTTTTGCTTTTTACCCCACTTAACAACAAATAATCTTAATATCTATATTTTCCAAATTGGTTAAAATATTGGTAAATATTACTCATTACATGGTTGTAGTTGCATAATCACTTGATTATATAAGAACCAGATTTGCCTTATTTTCTGTTTTTAGTTTTCCCCTTGTCAAGACACCTGTTGCCATGTCTAATACTTATTATTTATGTCATAATAAAAACTTGGACGAATAGTGTAATTTATTTTCTTACCCTGTTCATTGATATAAATTTGATTATTATTTATGTCATAATAAAAACTTGAACGAATTGTGTAACCTATTTTCTTACCCTGTTCATTAATATAAATTTGCTTATTATTATTATGTCATAATAAAATCTTGAACGAATAATGTGACGTATTCTCTTACCCTGTTCATTAATATAAATTTGATTATGGATTCAAACATTGTGTGAATCCCATAATAACCTATGTGTCAACATATAATTGAGCTTGATGAAATTATTTTTTTTAGCTATTTTTTACAACGATAAATATGCAGTTAGAACATTGTCTACACATCAATATCCTTGTCTACCTATATTGTTGATTTTGAGTGCCTGTATATGCATGAACTTTGTTTAAGAGCATTATCATTCAGTTGACTTGGTTAAAGAAAAGTGACTGTCAGTGCTAAGCCTGTTAAATTTTGATTCATATTTTTAAAGAAAAATTATGAACGAATAGTAACTGAAGAATCATAAAACACTGTGCAGTTCCTTCGATTTTGCAAGGACTCATAATAAGTAACCGAAATAATGAGTTATGATTAGTACTACAGTTTTCGTCAATAGTTTTAGATTACGTTTGTGTTCTGTTAATAATTCAATAAAGTGAATTGTTCGATTTCAACATAATGGTATAAAAGTCCTGTGCTCTCTGAGGTCCGCGGAGTTAATGAGTTGTTTGTGGTATTTAAACGTGTCTACATAACAATAAGTTGTTCGGTAATATAACAAAATAGCTATTCACTAATTCTTGGTTTTCAACTGTTCTCCAGTTAATATGAGTCTGTATAAAAATAGTGACTTTAAAGAAACTTATCTCAGACAAAAGAACTTGGTAATAACAGTTCTAACGTCGACACTAGACCATTTCAACTAGAATCCTTATAACAATACGATTGAAACTGGGAATCAGTAACACCAAATGCAAAGTCCTATTTGTGATAAGGCTTTACGTCAATTAATTCTAAACATCCAGCTGTCAACAAGATACACCACCTTAGTAGGGAGTAAGATTTTTCATTGGTTTTAATCTAGAAACTATCTATTTTAATTGTAGTTGGAACGTCTTTGTGTATTGAGAATTCTAATATTGTATGGAACATGCTATAAAAAATATTAAAGAAAATATCTACTTCAGTACATTTGTATAACCTAATGTTTTTCATTACCGGAGTCTAAATACTGATATTAATCCTAATAGTTATGGAGGCAATCATAAATTCATTTAGAAAATACGGGATTTAAAATTGTCATTGGCGAATTATAATGATTTTCATTGTATTGTTATAAGTTCAGTAAAAATTTAATTAATCTATGGTTAACTTAAATGGTAACTACTTCCTCAATGATGTTTATGCCAATATACTAAACAAGTTATAACTGGTAAAGGGAATTTCTCATTTATTATTTGGTCAAAGACAGTGTGTATATGTGTATGTTGTTATCACTAAACTAATCAATCATGAAGAGAATAATTACAATTAATTCATTTTAAAATATGAAATGGTGGGTTATTGTTTACAACTAATGTGACCACTTTAATACGTTATTCGATATTTCATACATAATTTTTATGACTAAATGATATCAGCTGGAGAACGCTTGAAAAAAAGAAAGTAAACTGTACAGCTGATGTTCTCCAGCGTGGGACTCTTCAACATTGATTACTAGTGACGGATATTTACAGATGATGATCCAGCTTGATCATGTATTGACTGGGGTTGAGAACAAGAACCTCTTGATTTAATCTTGGTGGATTAAATATATTTTGTTTGTCATATAATCAAAGATAGTGAATTTATTCCCATATATGATTGTGTATATGTACTGATGATGAGTTAGAAAATATAAAGAAATAGCTATCCGGCTCAGAAAATAATTTTAGAAAGGGATCCATAATGTCAATTCATTTACTAAATATTTTCAAGTGACACAAGGGTGCCATGAGATCAAAGAACTATTCTAAGAAGTATTTTGGAATCGGTTTGCACATGTTTATGATTCGCACATGTCATTCGAAAATTTTAATATCTAAGACCAGGATAGACGATAGTGATACCGATATGGCTTTTCGATGCACAAATAGATTGGTGTTCGTGCCTGGACACTCTGTTGTTTAGGTTGTAATTCTTGGAGGAACATTAGTCCTTGATGATCGGAGTTAGATCTTATTAGCGAGTACTAATTCGTATGAAATTTTGTTCTTTGGGCTTGGTGTTGATTATCACTAAACTATTTTTTTCTCAGTCTACCATTTTAATATTGTAACTGGTAACTGGCTTGGTTCTTAGACCATTTGATTTTTATCGCTTGAGTTATAAGTCCTAACTTTGTTTCACTATGAGAATCAAAGGTAAAATAGTTATCACGTACACCGTATTTAAGCACGAATAGTGAAAACTAGAACGCTGAGATTAGTACCGATTTTTTCTTATGACAGAGGTATCTATATATACATATGTGTAGTACATTTATTTAGTGTATAAGAATTTGTTGCCTTAATAATTATAGGATTTTTAAGGTCATAATCAACAGGTTATATCGATTGTAAATTCTGATCACCTAGTATAACTTCACCACATAACCTTATATGTAATCCTAGTTCATTATTGAAGCCAATCGTCTAACATAGTCATTTATATGGTATTGTGGTAGCTTATCTATTACTATTCTTAGTATTACATTGTCATTGATGTTGGGATTTATGGATCTAAGATCATTTCATTATTATTATTATTATTTCTATTGAATTTCTTGAATCAACTTAAGAAATAACACCTTTTTACTATTGTTAAACATATAACCGCACATACAATTGTTATCGATTAAAATTAATCTATAAACAGTAACAAGAGATGGTAGATAAACTTATGAATTCTTATTTTCCAACGACATGAATACATTTTGTTCCTTGGTGTGGTTTAATATTTATTAACAATAGTAATGGTTATAATAATAATAATAATAATATTGAAAACTTGATCATATACATATTTTGTCTGAGTCATTCATTTAAGTGGAAACAAAATAAGAGTTCTGTGTTTTCTCAAATATATTAAATTTTCAGTTGTAATAGTAATGTTGACAGTTGACAAAGACGATGGTAGTTGTGTGTGTATTTATACATGTATGTATGTGTGACCGTATGGTTTCGTCTTGTTTTTTTTTTTTTCTATGATGGATCTGATAATTCTGTTATTCTGGATACACGCTTTATAAACATTTACTTAAACACACACGCAATACATACATGAATATGTTATTTATTTATTTACCTATCTATTCACATTGATATTTTAAATCCGTTAATATAGAATTAGGTGTCAGACTACAACTATATGTTTATGTTTACAGATGGTAGCAATTTGAATTGTAGTTGTTTTTTTTTTTTGGTTCAATGAACTACAGTTATTTTATTTAAGGTTGGTACTACTAGTTGTTTTAATTTTTCCACAAGAAAATTACTTCTTGTTAAAAGATTAGATGGATAGAAAAATAAACAATTATCCACGTCACTTGACTATGAAGATGTTTATTATTATGAGTATTAGGGTTGATAGCTAGTCACATGAACTAATATAAAAACAATAAAAATAGAGGTTAAGGAACGATATATTACAAATCAATTTATCAGATTTACACAAAAATTGAAGTTTGTTTTTATTAGTTAAAAATAAATTGTGAAAACTATTCCTTTTCATAAAAGTTATTAAAATAATACAATAATCTATTTTTAAATGAAAAAGTTAATCTAAGTACTCATTTCATAGCACAATTATCCTTGTGAAATGTATCCATCTGTTATTGTAATTTATCAATTGTTCAGATTATACTTGAATATAATGTTAATTTGATTTATCGATCTGATGTGGTGGATTCGATTAATCATTCAATTTAAGTTTTAAAAATGAGTACTTAAAAGAGTAGTCTCTATAGTAATGTAAGCAGCCATGTGGAATATATAGTTTTTTGTATCAAATACGACAACTGTAAACAAGGAATTCATATGTTAAGATAAAGAAGAGATACTGATCATAGAAATGTAAAACACTGATTGGTAATCCAGTAGTTAGAAGGTTAAACATTCGATGAGACGGCTGAAAATTTTGGTTTCAATCCATGGTTGGGTCATGGAAGTACACTGTCATGGAGTCTCATATTGGTACTGAACTCCTGTTCAATGTTTCCTGATTGTTAATAGTTGTCAAACTACAGACAGCTCACGATATAAACTACAAAAAAAAAACAAAGAGATTTATCCAAATTATATTACAGAATTTCAAATATCCCATAGTAGATGGTTAATCCAACCGATTTGATAGAAGCTGAATAATTAATGATGACTTGTGAAACAGTATGAAAGCCACGAAGTGCTACAGATGATTTCTTTGACCCTATTTAACACTATATCACTATGCTTAAAAAAATTCATTCCAGGTAATGTAGTCACAATCGAAATTACGGGAACTTCAAACACACTGGATACACTTAGTGAAGAAATCATGTCTAAAACAAATCTTACCGCATCTAGTAAATTATATATTCAGATCACTACAGATTCAATAGAGACAACAAGAAGAATAAATTTACTCAACGGACTTCACAGAATGCATATGAACACATGATTCTTTAAATAATGTATTTCTCATATTATTGGATCGACTGAAGCACCAGTTTGCATTGATTTATTTAAAGTACCTTATTATATTGTTCTAAAGGAGAATCGCTTATTTGTGTACTTATTCATTTTCAGTTAAAAAGTAAAATTGTATTTTATGTATCGATAAATGAATAAAGCAAACATATCGATTACACTCAACTTATTTTTCACCTGAAGCATGATTAGCTGTATAGTTTTTGTTTGTTTTTTAATTGTGATAAAGATGGACATTAGCAACAATGTTAAATAAAGACAAGAATTTCAGTGTCAGTCCCCACTTATCCACTGGGAGTAATTAAAACGTAACACAATAAGAAAAGAAATGTACTGTGAAATTTCTTGGTTTAGTTTGCGATTTTGATTATTGTACATCGTTAACGTTTTTATATCAAATAAGTATCACTGTTGCACAATGGATGTTTTACCATTTCGTTTGTTATAAAAGAATCAAATAATTGGTATTTTAACCATATTAGACAATATAATTGGTGGACACATGTTTGGAATTTGATACTTTGAGCCAAAAAAGGGGATATTTCTTTCATCGCTCACTGTCCCAGGAACACAAACTGAAACACGATCTTAGTGGATCGTCAACTACCTAACGAAGCCTGATAGCATATGACATTGCTTAAGTGAAGTTTTTACAGAGTTTCCAATTGGAAAACAGCTATAACGATGGTAGTCATCATTAACCCAGGTACTCGCCTGGAATTTGATATTGTCCGAATAGCGTTAATATTAGGCCGATTACAAAGCTATCTAGAATCTTGAAATCTCATATTAAACATCAAAGGAGCTTAGAAGGTCCTGTATTCAGCTTACACTTTCTGTCAGTTTGTATAATGTAGTTGTCAAGGCGATTCAAAAAATAGTACTGTATGTTTTCCGTATTTACGAAAAGTAAATTAACATAGGTAAAACTCGAACTCCTTGTCAGTTGATAACGGACGCAGAACGAACAAAGAATTTATGCTAATATTTTGTAACAATTAAAATTCAGTAGGTTTGCTCCCAGATGTAGTGTAGCTGTCAGTAGAGGGTAAAAAAATATGAAGGTGAGTAAATTAATAATAGAGGTAAGAATGGAGAATCTAACCTGAGGATTTTCGAATCTAAAATCTCTTGAGTGTTTTCAGAGGTATGAGGGCTGTTATCACTGCCCGGTTGCCCACGCCGTGGAATGGTTCTTCCAGAAATACCTGAAAAGGAAATTGGATTAAAGATGGTCTTAGTGACCTGAGAGTGTGACCGCAGTGCCCAAGGGACAACTGCTTGAGGCCAGTCACACACGACCATTTTGTGAGTAATTTTCGTGTTAGCTCCGCACTTGTTGATACCTTACGACCGGAGACAGATGTCCGTGAGATAAGGCGAGGTGTGTATTTTTAGGGTCGACCTTTTCTAACCCCACCCCTCCTTGTGGGAAGGCAGCGTCGCTGTTATGCTGGTTGTCTGAAGGGAACACCTTATTACTGTCACACCTCTGTGCAGTCAGAAGTATGATTTCATCCTCGGACCTTTGATTTACTGCTCTTCAATCAATCTGTCTGGCATGATAGGACCTTGAGGAACGATTTTTCTAGCCAGTGTAGCTAGATTTGTTCACTATGATAGGCAAGTCTGATCATCACATCAAGGTAGCAGCAACGATCAATATGTTGCAGAGAGTACTCAAAAATAATATAAGTGGAATAAGTTATGATAGCATCCTAAGATTTTCCAAATGGAACCCCCTTCAGAAAACAGAGTTGAGATAAATAAGGACACGTTGGAACACTCCACTTCAAAATAAAAATTCTAATTCTTGTTTAAGCCTAGTGAGTTGGTAAAAAGTCATTTTTGACATTGTTAACAATTACTAACAACACAAAGCTTCAACTTATAAACTACGACAAAGCCTGGCCTGATGTATTGCATGATCCGAAAATATTAGTTGGTTTGATCAAAGTCATTACTACTCATATTAGTTTATAATGTAGGAGTAGGTTGGAAGATAGCTATGGGCGGCCAGACCAAAACATGGCACAAGTCCATGAAGTCACCAACAAGTGGGCTGAGCCTTGTTGGTAGGTGTAGACTACCTGGTTGGGATCCGCGATACCATAGCAACCGATGGTTAGAGATCTTGAATGACGTGGTTTAAAATCATTTGCAATGGTGCATGTGCATCCACTCTTTGTGTTCTCCCAAATTCTAATCTTCTGAATTCTTCATGTTCCTTTCTTTTCTCTCTTTACAAACTTATTTCACTGGATTATACTCGTTGAACAACATCTTCAAACCCTAATTTTTCCGATTACTGCTTATACTCTTACTACCTCTACCACTGTGGTACTTAAATCGATAATTGTATCACTGTGCTAATGTACGTATGTACAAAGATCTGCGTTGTTGCTGACTAATAAATATTAGTTAGAATGGTTTTTACAGATGTAACATAACCTCAGATTAATCAAACGAATACTTTAAAGTGTACTGTTAGCCACGGTCTTATAATCGTATCACATTAAAAGGCGATCTTGTAGTTAAAATACTGTCGTAGTGTTAGCTAATCAGATCTATCAAAAGCCTCCGAGTAGCTTGATACAATAAAAATAACGAATTATTCGGGAGTAATCCCTTTAAAAGATTGCTTAGCACTCCAAAGAGCGTGTTGAAATGTTCACTGATACCATAAGCGCAGATAATCAAACCAAGAACAATGATATCATAATAGGTTGAGTGTAAGCTGTTGTGTTTCCTTTACTTTCACTCACCAAAGTGCTGTAAGTGTTCTTATTATAAAAAGATGAGTTAGTATGAAATTTCTTTTTTCATAAACTTAAAAAGAATATTTTCGGAAGCTAAAAGCGGTAGCTAAATGGATTTTAGGTGTGGTTTAACAAGGTTTTTGTCTTTTTAAAGGTTACTTTATGCAACCAAATTATGTGGGCAACCGAGGCGTACATTTACTAAAATTTTCAAAATTAAAGTCTGAATGTCAATGTAAACAAAATAATAACTCCTCGATAAAAAACTATTCACAGTAATTAACAATATTTCTTCGATCCTACAAAAGGATGCAACATTATTTCACATATTTTTAGTCCGCCTACAACATTCAACTTCTAGCTGTGTAAAAATATAGTAAACAGCTTTTGCTGTTGATCGGGTAAAACCTAGTATCCTTCAGCACAAGATCAACCAATATATTCCGTAACCTGTAACGGAAGGTTCAGACTCAGATGCGGATCCGTGTAGTAAGGACAGTAGGTCTTCGACCTATGTTATTAATTTTCTAGTATAATTCTGTAAGTGTCTAATCTCCCCTTAAATGAGTCAATTATAGATGCTTACGCCACTGCTTCGAGTAACCGGTTCCAAGAATTGATGAATCGGTGTGAAAACCTGTATGCCATTGGTGTTTTGTTCACTCTTTGCTTCACTCCTCTGAGTTTTCCCGATCTGGTAGAAATAAAAACAGGTGATATATTAGATACAAAAATATTTCTTCGTATTTTATGCATCAAAATCAGATTATCTCTAAATCTACGGTGGAACAAAGTAAAGAGGCCTAGCTTTTCAAGCCTCTCTTCGTGTGGTAAACCTCGGAGTACTTGAATCGCACTTTTTCGAAGATATATGAACCACTTTTTAAATGGAGGCTTGCAGCGTGAACGCAGTTTTCACTTTTAGTTCTCACTAAGCTTGTGTATACCGTAGTATATATAGTAGTGCCTAACTCGATGAATGCCCGTTTTAAAACCTATAGGGTTCTAAACCCCTTAGCTGCCACCTCGCGGCAGTGGGCTGCTGTCTTAAGATTATGACTCATTGGCACTCCAAGATCCTTGCGAGATCGGACCACGGGTACAGACACTTTCCACAGGCTGTACCTATTTACCTTTGTATCACCAAAGTACATTTAGACGCTTTTTACTGCGTTGATAGGCATCAACCACTCTTTAGACCAGCTAATCAGAATAAATAAGTCTGCACAAAGAGCACATGCATCTGCATCTTCTATTATTTCTTACCACATTTACATCATTAGGGTATAGTAGCATTGGGGACTCAACTATACTTGGGGGTTCATTTACATACAGTATAAAAAGTAAAGAACCTAGGACAGAGCCTTGCGGCACTCCACTAAGCACTGACTTTCAAGAAAAACACATGGAATTTATTTTTAATTTCTGTCCACGACCTACCAAGAAATCATTCATCCATTTTAGGAGGGGTCCGGTGATGCATAGCTTTTCCAGCTTCAAGATTAGTCTACTTTTCGGCACCTTATCAAATGATTTTCTGAGGTCTATGTAGACAATATCCACTGATTGTTCATTACACAGAGCCTCTATCTATTTCTCTATTGCTACAGTATTGGTGAGGCTGATAGGTCTGTAGTTTTGCAGAAGTTGTCTTGATTCTGTGTGATTTATTGGAGTGAAATTGGCATCCTTCCAGTCCGTGGGCAACTCACCTTGGCCAAATGACAGATTGAATATCGTAGCCAATGAGGCAGCAATATGCTTTACAATTAGTCTCAAGATTTTTGGATGTACTTAATCAAATCCTGTTGACTTTATCGCGTCTAAGGTGCTAATGGCCTTAAGTATATAATCTTGATCGAAGTTACCGGTGGACAGAAGACTATTGGATTTTGCATTTGGGTCTAGTTGTTCATCTATTTTAAAACATAGAAACGAAGATTTGCCATCTGAATTACATGGTTAAGAGATGTCGCAAAACATTTTCTCCAAGTTTTCTCCACAATCCAAGCTCCAAACTTTAGAGAAATTTTGGGCAGCTTTGGGGAAGTCCCCCAAAATTTCCCCAAAGTTGGGAGCTTGGGATGTATCAGCCGAACAATTTTAAGAGTTCAAGTACTGGTTTTTCTGGCTGTCAATTATCGAAAAGAAAGATATAATCTCTGTAATACATAAAACTATATTATACAACGATTAGGAAAAATAGAAAGTTAATTAAATCAACTACAGCGCAGAAGCTGAAAAACAATTTGAAATTCGAGCGTACATTCAGTGATGTGATTGGCCTACTATTATCAGCTGGTTAATCTCAAGGTTGTTTGTGACTTCTACAATTGGTTGAATATAGTGTATAAAATACCTAATTTTAGGGCGGGCTTATGATATTCGAGTTTTTGAAAACTACGCGTGGTACGTATGCCAAACTTCGGCATTGTCAAAAACACAGAATTTATGAACACGAGTAACATTTCGAGTGATACTCCAGTTACCCGTCTATCAAAAATTTTGTCGAAGGCTAACTTTCTTGAAGTATCTAAAACGAAAACAGCACCAAAACGTAAGCAGTGTTACGTGTTGTAATTTATTCAATAACAGTTCATCAAATTTCAGAAATAATACCTCCGGACATAGACGAAAGGTTTGTCGAATAGTTTATATTCTTATGTTTCATTAGTGCAAATCAAGAGCCGCCTACAACATCAGTATGGTCTGAAGCCCCCGAATTT